GGTTACATCAACCACATGTTAATTTGCTACTAGTCACTTAATTATCTTTAGGAACAGAAGTTCAATACATTTGCATTTTATATCCTTTACTACATTTTTGGAGTGATTTAGAGTTACTAGGTTGGACAAACCTTTTAACTTCTGTGGATTTGTTTTATTGTTTATAAAACTAGGATACTGGACTTCGTGATCTTTTAGGACCCTTCAAATCCCAAAGTTCTGTTGTCTAATCATGAGATACACACACACACACACACACACACACACACAAAGGCATTTGCGTGTAATATCAATATTTGATTGAAACTTATAAGACTTCTGGTTTGTTTTTTGTTTGTTGTTTTGTTTTATTTTGTTTTTGAGACAGAGTCTTGCTCTGTCGTACAAGCTGGAGTGCAGTGTCATGATTTTGGCTCACTGCAATCTCCGCCTCCCGAGTTCAAACGACTCTCCTGCCTCGGCCTCCCAAGCAGCTGAGACTACAGGTGCCTGCCAACACGCCCAACTAACTGTTTTTATATATATTTTTAGTAGACATGGGGTTTCACCATGTTGATCAGGCTGGTCTCGAATTCCTGACCTCAAGTGATCCACCTGCCTCAGCCTCCCAAAGTGCTGGGATTACAGGCATGAGCCACCACGCCCAGCCATATTTCTGTTTTTTGTACATCAAAAATGATGAATACAAAAATTTCATACGGCTTCATTCAATATACATCTCAAAGACAGTACAAAATAGCACCATAGCACCCCACCCCACCTAGCAGGCCTGATTCTTCTGCTCAGATATGTAAGCCATTTATTGGAGGAACAAAATGGAATTAAATCTTTAAAACTATAGCATGCTCTTGCCTCTTTTCTATCTCCTCTTTAGAAACATATACTCATACTGAGAATATTTCTCAGGGTTCAAATTCCACCAACCTATGCATATATAAAAAGCTAAGTTCTATAATAAAGATAGTGAGATATTTTCTGTGACTAGGAATATTTCATTAAAAAATCACATCATGAATATAAACATTTTGTACATTTTGATGTTCTATAAGAGAATACCCTCATCTCTTAAGTTCTATAAGAGAACACCCTCATGTCTTAAATAACTACTTATAATACATTTTAAACTCCTGAACACGACACAGCATAAAGCTGGTGACTGCTCATTCCTCAGCTGCTCACCTGGTACCTCATACGAGTGAGTATAGAGGCACTGGCCCCCATCCACATCCACCGACTGTCCAGTGATGAAGGAAGCTGCAGGAGACAGTAGGAAGCAGACCACAGAGGAGACCTGGAAGCAGAAACACACACGTGAATAGGTAAAAGCAAATATTCCCCATTTCCAACCACTTCACATTCCCTAGTAAAGACAGCTCAAAGCACATGACTGTAACATGAATCCAACAGTGTGTGCATGTGCACCACAACCTCACAGTACATAGACAACTTCCTTTTCCTACAACTTCCCTTTCTACCTGAGCATCACCAAAATCAGGTAGGTGACTAGGGTAAAGGTGGCAAGGTATGAGGGAGCCTTAGACAGTGTCAAGCAAGCTATACGACGTGAAGAAGCCATAAGTCAACTCAGTGCTTCAGCTCTGCTCTTTCCCATGTCAAACAATTCACTTCCTTTCATGCCTTTCATTGTCCTTCGCAACCCCATTTTCCATCACTACCTCATGGTCTTTTATATGTTGGTCCCTGAAACAGCCAACATGTCTGTTTAGCAATAAACTAGCATTCTGGTTTGTTCAGTCTGTGGTCCTGTGAGGCCAAAAGCCCAGCAACACACACTCAAAGGAGCTCTCTACAAGAGGAACTTCAAAAACTTAGCCGGGCGCAGTGGCTAAAAATTAGCCGGGCATGCTGGTGCATGCCTGTTAATCCAGCTACTCAGGAGGCTGAGGCAGGAGAATTGCTTGAACCAAAAAAAAAAATAAATAAATAATGGTTTTCTTCTTTCTTTTTTTAAACACTGTGGTATTTAAAGTTTTAAGCACTGTGGTCCCAGCTCCTTACAAGGCTGAGGTGGGAGGATTGCTTGGGCCTAGGACGTTGCAGTGAGCTGAGACTGCACCACTACATACCAGCTTGGGTGACAGAGTGAGACTCCATTTCAAAAACAAACCCAAAGGCACTTCAGACTCCCACTGCACTCCTTAAAAATTCAAATAGGGAACTGATGGGTTCAGCACCATCTACTCCCAACCCAATCAGAAGGAAGTTATTTCACTGACTGTAAAGGAGCTCTCATTTGAGGCTGTGGGAAGAAGCAGAGTTTCTTAAACAGTGATGATCCAAAACACCTGCATTTGAATCACTAGGGAGGCTTACGGAAACTCCAGATTCCTAGATCCTTCCAGGATCACAGCAATTGTAAACCCTGGGGTTGGGGTCCCAGAATCTGCAGTTTAAAAGAACCTCAGGCAGGGCCAGGACTAGCGTGAGGCAAATAAGGTGTCAAGGGTGCAAGATTTAAGGAGGTATTCACTCTCAGGTTTGCACAAGTGCAAAATCTTCCCTGATAGGGAGCGGGTCTTTACATTTTGTGTCCATGCCTTGCTTGCCTCATCCCAGTCCTGGTCCTACATTTACAAGGCTATACCTCCTTGAGACCCTAAGACCTTGGAGAGCAGCCAAGCCTTCTCTCCATCCTTGTATTCCCAGCAGCTAGTACAGAGCTGCACTATCTAAAACGAGGCCACTAGCCATAGCTGCCTACTCAAACACTTTCAATATGGCTGGTCCAAATTGAGATGTGCCGTAAGTGTGGAACACACATTGGATTTTGAAGGCTTAGTATGGGAAAAATAATGTAAAATATCTCATTAATCCTGAAGGCTCCAAGGGGTGAAGAAAATAATCTGAATTTCTGATGTTGATTACATGTTGAAATGACAGTTTTGGATGTATTAGCTAAATCAAATATATTATTAAAATTAATCTCACCTCTTTATGTGGCTCCTGGAAAGTTTAAAATTACAAATGTGGCTATTATTGTATTTCTATTGGACAGGGTTGGCACAGAATTCCCTATTTAAAAGGTCCCACATTGCTGTGAAAAG